GTGCCTGGCCAGCCTGGGTGAGGGGCTGATGGCTGTTTGCAGGCTGGCCACAGCCCCTTCAGAGTGAGGGTCCCCACTGGGGTGCCTGACCAGCCTGGGTGAGGGGCTGAGGGCCGTTATCAGGCTGGCCACACCCTCTTTAGGGTGGGGGGGTCCTGCTGGGGTGCCTGGCCAGCCTGGGTGAGTGGCTGATGGCTGTTTTCAGGCTGGCTAAGCCCCTCAGCGGGAACCCTCACCCCATGAGGGTGTGGCCAGCCTGGGTGAGTGGCTGATGGCTCTTTGCAGGCTGGCCACAGCCCCTTCAGGTTGGGGGTCCCTGCTGGGGTGCCTGGCCATCCTGGGTGAGGGGCTGAAGGCTGTTTTCAGGCTGGCCACAGCCTCTTCAGGGTGCAGGGTCCTACTGGGGTGCCTGGCCATCCTGGGTGAGGAGCTGAGGGCCGTTTTCAGGCTGGCTAAGCCCCTCAGTGGGGACCCTCACCCTATGAGGGTGTGACCAGCCTGGATGAGGGACTGTTGGCTGTTTGTAAGCCGGCCACAACCCCCAGCCACCCAAGCTCCCAGTGGAGGCTGGATGGAAGCAGGTATCTGGGATTTATTTGTCTTCTATAATTGAAACTTTGTTGCCATGAGCGGAGGCCACAGCTGGCTCAGGGCAGGCGGGAAGCTTGGCTTCCTCCATCGCCCGGGCAACCAAGCCTCCTGCTTGCTCCAGCTCCGTGGCTGCCTGCCGCAATCTTGGTTGGGTTAATTTGCATATAGTTGCTCTGAATGGCTGGTGGGCATAGCGACGGTACGGTCAATTAGCATCTTTGTCTTTTATTAGTGTAGATTGCCAATTACTGGAGGGACAGGTAGGGAGAAAAATATATAATTTACAAAGTTGCTTTAAAAATGCTTCCTTATATCTAAAAAACAAAAAGTTTAAGAATCAGCAATACTTGCAAATGACATGGAATATTGTCCTATCTGCAAAACACAATATTCCTGAATAACAGAGCTATAGATGAAAGCAAAATATAGTTATTATTTGACAAAGTTTCCCATGTGCTTTAAGCAGAAAATTTTCCTTCATGGGAGAGGAAACAAATACTTGATGCATTCCAGAGACTATTGGAGTGATCTAAAGCCAATTCTATGTCAAGAGAAAGTTTCTTAAAATTCAAACCCTGGAAGGATTGTCAAATTTATTTTTCCAGAAGTTCATATATCAAAGTGTATTATGCACAAACATAGGCTAGTGAACTTCAGTTCCCATAATGAAAAGATGGCTTTAAAAGAACTTCCTGATTAATAAAACCATTTTAATAATTTATAGAACTCTTGCTTCCTGGGTACAAAAACAAGAAAGAACTTTTCCCTTTTAACAGACTAGAAAAGGATTATCCAAAATAAGGTTTATTCTCTAACTTCATTTGTCGTTGGGTGTGGTCAGCAAATGACACTAATTGGATTTCTGCTGTCTGTCTCCCTGAGTCCATTGATAGAAGGTATTTACCATCTGGTTATACCCTCTGGTTAGGGAGGCAAAATGCAAATCATTTACTCTT